GGGGGGCAATTTAGCCAGAGAAGACAAAAGTTATTGCAGTGCCCCATGCAATAACGGTACGTCACAAATTTTTCATATGTTGTCCTACAAAAAGCAACGCACCCAAATTTGTACATATCCCACTCATATTGAAAGGCTGTGATCACGAAACCAATGTGTTGTGGGCACTGAACAAGGAAGCAGTCCTGACCACTTGTAAGGGGGCAGGTTGGAGTGGCGGACGGGTCACAGAAAAAAAAAAAAAATTAAGCTTGAGACTTTCTGTTGGAGTCGCACATTCAGACCTGTGTGAACTTTGTCATTTTAAGGTACGTCCTCACCATGTTTCTTTTCCTAAACTTGACCACTGTAACCATCATTCCCTAAACCTAACCTCTGTAACTTTAGGTTCATTACAGAACTGTACATTAAGGACGTAACGTCATTCATTTGGCACAAATTTGTAGGATACCATACGAGAATTTGTTGCACAACTGTACGTCATCATTTATTGGCTGAATCTGTTTCCATTGCACTTTTACTTTTTTATCACTACACCAACTTTTCCAGCTCCCCCAAGAGTAGAAACTTTTTTTTAAGATATTTTTTTCAGGCATTTTTAAGCCTTTAATTGATAGGACAGATGAGTGTGAGGGGGGGAGAGGGAGGGAGTGACATGCAGCAAAGGGCCACAGGCTGGAGTCGAACCCCGGCCGCTGCAGCAACAGCCTTATACATGGGGCGCCTGCTCTACCACTAAGCCACCGACGCCCCAAGAGTGGAAACTTTTTTGTAACATTTGGAGATTGTTTCTTATTGGTTTTTTATCAAAATTGAAAATTCAAAAACCTACTTTCACTCTCAAAATTAAGGAAGTCAGAAAGACTGCTTTATCAGAGTGAATCAGTAGAAACAATAGCAAAGAGGGTTACCTACTCTCTCTGGAAGGAGGCTGATTAGCATGGTTTGCTAGCTTCCATTTAAGTGTATGAGTGTTACATATCAGCGTGAAGGGTCCTCCAAATGTTCAATGTTGTAAAGGAAAAGATGTGCTAAACGCTGATGTTGTGTAACCAGTGCTGTATGGACTTGTTCAAAGAGGACAGAAAAAATGTTTGATGCCAGTGCAGGCTTTACAAGGCTGAGACATCTTTCAGTTATTAGCATATGTGTCCTAGCAATTTGCTATTTTAGGAGGAGGATATTGAGAGGTGGACCGTTTCAAAAAGTAGGATGTCTGACTAAAATAAATGGTGGATCAGATACATGCCCAGTTACACACAGACTGTTGTAGACTCATCCACAGTCCAAGGCAACCGTGACTTGTCCACATTCTTGCACCTCCCTGGAGTCCTCTCCGTGTCTATTGTACACACGGTTTGCTGCTTCCTGTTTGGTGCTGGAGAGAGCGCAGCTATTGGCTGTTCACACCGTGTACGAATTCAGTATTTGCATGAGTCAAGACTAAAAACTTGAGATAATACTAAACATGTTTGATTTTAGAAAGGAAAAGACTGCAGACGGTTTGGACTGAGCTTTATGACCACCTGACCGCAAACCAGATCACAGGAGCACTAACTGAGGTAAAGCTCTCGTGATTTCACTCCAGTATTGGAACAGTGGATTTGTCTGAGATAGAGAAATTGTCGGCATCACAAAAATATTTCCAAAAGCATTTTTTTTTGTGTTTTAAAAATAGACAAATTTTCCCCGGTTTATATTTCCTTACACAAACTTTCTTTTTTCTCAGACATGTCTTTTCTTTCAGCCTGTAGCAGAGCTTTAAATACATTCACTAATATTAAAATTTAAAACCCACAGGAGCATGAGGACACAAATTAGAGAGCTGTAGCTTTCTGTGACTTCATCAGCTCAGTCCAGCCTGTGAGTATCCAGAATCAACATGACAGCACACGTGACGATGCAGTGGGTCAGGTTGTTGGTTAGTAGAGTGGGTGTGTCCATGATCATGCAGGCACATCGACAGTGGTCACAGAGGAGGTTAAAAGAAGGTGAGAAGACAGCGGTGATGGTCATATGGTAGCCATGAACACAACCTATGACCTCACATGATGATGGGACATACTTACGAAGAACACGCCTCCCTCCACCTTCCGGGTTCGTCTCCCTGTCACCTTAGCAGAATGACAGTTGGGTTTTATTTGTTGGGTATTTAGAGAGCATTCATTCACTACTGAACTTCACTGACTATCCGTCCCACCCAAAAATTACCAACACATTACAGAATGAGATATTTTACTTCAACAGAATCTTTAAATATTGCCTTTTGTCTGACACAATGTGCTGCGTAGTTTGTGATGGAAAACCTGGGTCTTCTTTATGAGCGCTGCCCAGAAACAGCCTTACAGATGTACGAGACCTTTGGTGCAGCTTATCCATTAGAGTCAGTTTACTCTATGAATAACATGTCACACCGTCTGGGAGTGATCCCAGAGGCCAGCGCTGTGCTGTGATTTGATACTGGGAGTGTTAACAGCCTGCCCTCTCTCAGTGGGCCTCTTACCCACTGGGAATGCATCGATCACACGGCTCCTCTGCACAGAAACACACATGATCACCTCCTACTTATTGATCTGTGTGGTGGCAAAGAGTGTGTATAATCAACCCTGCTGGAAACTAAACATTCATGTGTGTTTATTTCATGTGGCACCGAGGAATTGCACCTTTATTTATTGTCCCATAAAGCATCAAACAGGAAATTGCGTTTGAACCTTCCCCCTCCTCTCTTCCCCACCTTACACATTAATCCTGTCAGAGCTCTGCCAGATCAGCAGGACTGGTGTCCGTGCGTAACCCAGATCCATGAGTCATGTTATTTAGCTTTACTTATCTGAGGCGCTGAAACAACACCTTCACTCATTCAGGAATATAAAGCAGAGACGTGGACAGGGACTTCCAGACAATAGACAGAGACAGAGCAGAGGGGAAGAAATAAAGAGGTGAAAGTGTGGGCAGAGAGCGACAGAGTGGGGAGGTGAGAAGCAGTGGCGGGCGGGTGGAGGGGGGGGCTGATATTTATAGATAAGTAAAAGGCCAGTGATGATGCAGGCTAGTCAGGCCTTGGCAGATATGGTAACACGAGTGTGACCGAACACTCGAATAACAGCGACGTTAATGTTCTTGTTTGTCTGAAATCAGGCCAGTATCACGTGGGCTGTGAGTCATGGGGACCTCTGACGGGATGTGCACCATACAGTAACACATATATATTAGCTGAACCATATTTGTGACACCATGAAGGACAAAGTAAGGCTAATTACAGTTACTTTAATGCAGAAATAAGGCAGTAAAGACACCTGAGGTTTTGTTTGAAGTATGGGAACAAAAGTTGAGGTAAAATGAAAAGTAAAACTTAGCTGGCAGATTTGATAGCTAGCTCGCTAACTAAGCTAATGGAAATCCATTTAGAAGATATGGAAAAATAAAGGATCAGCATTTCTTATACAGGGTACAGCTAGTTTTCCCATAGATGTATAATCATCTTGGATCCCAAGATGGCACCTATCCATGAGCTAACTCGTCAAAAAAGGTTTCTAGCTTCTGCGGTACACAGTCCAGTGAATATGTGCCCTGCCCTTGACTTCCCTCTTGGGTCATAGATTTTACATTTCTTATTGACAATGTCATAATTTATCTTGGTTGCAGTTTGAGGTGTCCTGTCTAAACTTTTACAGACATCTCTTTTATAATCATGGCCTGTGGGGAAAATGCTTTTTGGGCAACAGGAGATTTTTTCGATGCAATACCGCAAGTGGTCTCTGGGAAAAAGCAATCCTGTGGCCCTGGTTTTTCCTAGTAGTCTAACTGCCGGGCTCCACCGGCTGCAAATGTAAGCGTCATGTCAGCCTAGTGTCGCGACGTATTCATTTGGGCTCCACTGACTGCGTACAGAAGCGACATGTAGAGAAGCCAGCGGGGTTGTTTACCGTTTGCTGAGCCGAGAGGCTGCATGTAGGCTGCATGAAATGTTAAAGCATTTTCCACCTAAGTTATTACATATATTTGAGTTATCTACAAGTTTACTGTACTGTTTGTCATCTACTTGCTTTCAAATGTCCGCCACGGACATTTACACAATGTCATGGATAAACATGGGTAAATGCATGAAAAAAAATCACCACATATCACCTCTGATAATGGTTTATTCATTTAAAAACACATTGTGCTCATTTAGCACACTATTTCATGTAGTTTTTATCTGCTGAAGGGGTCACGTAGGGGAGCGTAGCGCGACAAAAATAGAAGAGCCGTAAAATAGAGTTGTTGCGCGACAGACGGGGGTTGTCGCGCCGCTCCCGTTGGCGGTGGACCCCGGCCGTAAGTATGATAAAGTAAAATGTAAGCCAGCTATTCAACTCCACTTTACATTCGCTAACATACATCACATAATCAGGGCTTTTTTTTTTCAAACACAACATTCCCACAGTACAAGGCTCTTTAGGAGACTGGTTGTGTTTGACAAACGTTGCCTAGAGTCTGGCTGAGGTTGCTGGAGTATAAACTGCACTATATCAGGCGCTGAACTCTGGTAGCACACAGGCTCGGCTCCCACACCGTAGGAAACTACTACACAGTGGACCTTAAGAGAACCTGTAGCCCTACACGACACAGTTAAAGAGGCAACAGATAGCATATTTTCCTAAATATATCATGATGAAAATAATGTGGGTTGCACAGGGTAGTGGCCACAGTAAAATCAGACTATCAGCGTTTACATAGTTTACTTAGTGGCTTTGCAATCTTTGCAATAAGCTTCTGCCACCGGTGCTGAAATTTTGCGGAAAAAAAATCTGTTTTACGGCAGGAAACGCAGTATATGTAATATATATAGCAAAATTGGTCAGTCAGCCAATCAGGGACTGGAGCTGGTCCTTATGAGGAGTTGGGCATGAGATAGTTGAGTCACGAGCACAATGGCAGACGGACAAAGTTTGGAGACAAGTGAAAAACGGCCTAGCAAAAGAAAAGGAGCTCCTCTGTGTGAGGAGGCAAAGAAGAGCAAAAAGGAGAGTGATAAAAGAAGAGGAAAAACAAGAGTAAACCTCAGTCAGGCGTTCAAGAGATGGAGGGAGCTCCGTGACCAAAGAGGCTTCAAAACCCATGTCCAGCTAGCTTTCTTTCTAATGGATCAGTAAGTAACACGGCTAAATGTTAGCTAGACCAGAGAGGACTGTACTGTACTGGCTGCTAGTTCATTCCTAGCTGGCCAGATTGAACACACATGAGAAGTGCCTTTAATTTAATATAAATGCTACTTAATTACACCGACCTGGCAATTTATCGTTAATTAAAATTATATAACTGAAATGAAAGATGTGTTTTTGTTTATCAATCAGGCCTGCGTTTTGAGTAACAGCTCCCATTACTAAAACAGTTAGCCCGTATTTGTGTTTCTCTTCAGTAGCCAATTATGTATAAGGGAGCTCTCATCCATCAAATGTGTCCTTGCTTGAATTACTAGAATCACATGTATGGTCCTCAGTGTCCAACAGGCTGCAAGGAAATGCATGTGTAGGAAGAAAACAGGTGGATTTTGATGTTAAAAAAGGCCCCAAAATTTACGTTTTTGACACATATTTAGTATCTATCAAGACACAATATAAAAGTGTGGGAACTGTAACTTTTATTTCACTGTGTCTTGACTTTGTACCATGACAAAATGATGTCATCACGGCCTTATAACTGTAATATTACCATTTAATTTCAACATTCATTGGAGTAAAAGCCTGATAATCTGTGATCCATTACCTCTGATGAATAATCACATGCAGTATACACTAATGCTCTCACGAAGGCAGAGATGTATGTGCTATCCATTAGTATCATATCTTTATTACGGTGATGTAAAGCAGTGATATTTGGGGCTAAGCAGTATCAGTGCATGTAAAGGATGTTTACAGTCTGAAAACAAACCACTGTGGCTGCACTAATCCTCCAGCAGCAGAGATTACTCAGCTTTTAGCTACTTTTAGCTCTTGTACTTTTGCCCTCAGTCACCATTATTCTGCTGACTCTTTCAATGTTTTTTTAAAATCCTGTTTCTTCTTGAAACACATTCTCACTCCGCTGCTGTATGTTTCAGTTTTATGAATGTGCAATAATCCTGCACATCACCCCTGATTCCCTGCTAATGCTGCCATGTGCTGTACAGGATGTTGAAGTCCTGCAGCGCAATAAATAGCACTGAACCCTGCCACTGAGAGTCTAGGTCTCTTTTAATTAAAGGGACAGTTCTCACCAAAATCAAAAATATATTTTTTTTTCCTCTTCCCTGTTGAGCTATTTATCAGTCTAATAGAGTGTACCAGTAAACCTGGAACTCTGTTAGTGCTTTTAGCACTTGCGGTTCTCTCGTCTAAAAGTCAATACGTTTTTTGAATGGGATTTTGGTAAAAATGCTTCAAATAAGGTCTGTGGTCAACAAAAGCTTAAGCGAGTTTCAGGTTTTGTTCTACGACATAAAACACGTCAGTAAATACCCTACTTGTGAATTTTGAAGCTTTTACGTGTCGTAAAAAAGGTGGTTGCTAACAAGTTGCTCAATACGACTACAAACGGAGACATTAAACATTAAATGTCATCACCCCCGAACAGGCGAGAGTGCTGGCAGTCCGCCATTACAGCTTCTTATTTAGCTTAAACAGTCCGATTTCCCCATTATACAATGTTTTTAAAATAAAGCATCCGAAATCAGTTGAAAGCTTAGTGGCGGTGACATCAAGAGTCACGTGACCGTGGAGTAGTCATGTAGTCCATTAATGCCTAACGTTAGCTTTTTACTTCTGGTGATCGCATTTAAGCTTCAAATGCGGTATGAAAGGTGTTCATATGTGAAGATTATCTCGCTGAACAAAACCTGTAAGTATCATAAACTTGTGTTAGCCACAGAGCTTATTTTCTGACATAATCCAAAACGCAATGCAAAAATCACATTCACTTTCTCTTCCGGGAACCAGCGCGATGCTAAACTTCCGGGTTTTGACGTCAGCCCTGGCACACTCTATGGACGAAAGACTTGATGACCTCATGACAGCGTGAGATGTAAACATTAAATGAGCCGTGACTTTAGCTAGCTCAGTGGTGCTAGGTGAGCTAGCAGTTGATGCACGCTGACTTCTTTGCAATCGTAAGTGCTAATATCGTAGGCAACTGGACTTGCTTGCTTTTCTTGAAGACGTTTCACCTCTCATCCAAGACGTAGCTACTTGGATGAGAGGTGAAACGTCTTCAAGAAACGCAAGCAAGTCCAGTTGCCTACGATATTAGCACTTGCGATTGCCATGACCTGGATGACTGAGAATCTTCACCGACAAGTTTCCTTCTTTGCAATGTTATGGTTGGGAATAGTTCAATAGAAGAAAATAGTTCCAACATGAAACTGCTCACAACAAGATCTGTGGATTATCTTGAGTGACCAGGTCATGATTTCTGGAAAGAGACTTAGCTGTTGAGTTTTTCAAATTTATTTGTTGGTGCTTTGGGCACCACATGTCGAGTGCCATCTCGTAGAAATGTTAAAACACCATTTTTTCCTTCTCAATACTGATTCCAGTGCCCAAACTTGTGTATTATCCAATTCAATAATATCAAAAACTACTAAGCCAGTATGGATGTGAAATACTTGCTATCACTGTATGGCATGGCTCAGGTTAAACCCTTTGTAAAACATGAATACTTACAGAGAATGAATGCCATGTTGCCAAATTGCTGACAATTTGCCAATGGCTAACATTACACTATTTACCTGACATCAACTCTTCTTTGCTGCTCTTAAACAGTAGTTGCCACAGTGCAACTTGCTGTGCAGATGTGAATTCTACTTCAGAGTTGATTAACAAATTACATGGCATCAGATCAGTGCAGAGACTCATGTTTTTGCCAATGCTCTATCCATCATTTTAGGCAGTTAGGGTTATTGGACGCATGTCTGATACCGCTATCAGTGTCAGAACAAGTCTGCCATTTCTCCCATTATATTTGAGAGGAGGCAGACATCTTTACAGGCAGTATCTCCAACACTTGGCAACCCACGCCGAAACAATCTAGATTAATAAATAGCATGATGGGTAAGAGGAAAAATATGTGGTTATGATTTGGGGGTGAGCTATCCCTTCAACGTTCTGCAAACTGGACTCTCACTTCTCAGAAGTCTCTCAGAAGTAAAGTTGCTCCGGAGGAAGAATACAGAGCCACTGATGGAGTATCACTTCAGTTTGGGAACTCCAGCTAAATCAAAGTAAGCTACATTTGCTTTGAATTCACTTTCAATGGAATGTCAGCTGAAGATATGATTTATTTCTACACTATGCTGCTGTAGAATTCAGTTACGTGAGAAATATGTTCATGTATAATTTACTGTATGTTGTTTTTTAATTTGCTACAAGTTTAGTTTCATGCTCTTAATTTGAAATATAGACAATAATTTAGACAAAGTCAGATGTATCTGAGTCTTTAGACCAAAGTCCAGTTAAAAATCTAGACAATAAGTGATATAGGTGTCACACATTGCATGGCTATTAATTGATTCTGAAGAAAGTAAATTACCACTCTCCAAAATAAAATGTTTCTGTGGCTTATGTGTCCGCCATTAAGATTCCACTCATAATTTGGAAGACGGATGTCATCAGAGTTTGACACCAAGCTATGTGCCCTCACACTCTCACCTTATCTAACCCCTGGTCCCTCGTGTGTGAGGTTCACTTTAAACTGTACGTAGGTGACATAAATATCTGACTCAAAAGACCGAGCCGGGGAGAGCGGGAACAGGACAGATGGGAAGAGAAGAGGACTGAGGGATCTAGGAAGTAAATTTGTTGTTCGGTAAAGAGGCTTTTGCAAACACAGACAGGATGTAGCAACATTTATGAACAGTCAGTGCAGACTTACTGATTTTGGCTTGGTGGTGAGGCCCAAGTGCTGCTGATCGAACTCTTCTTTCTCTTCCCATGATTCTCTGCTGTCCCCGTTGGATGAAGGGGACACTTTGAGCTCCTTGACCTGTCCGCTCATCACCTGCACAGGGTCCAGACTCATCTTCACCATAGAGAACCCCCCCCCCCCTCTCTGTGCTCCCACAGGTGCTCCCTACGTATCCTGACCCCTCTACCTCTGATCAAGACACAGTTCTCTTCTTCTGCAAAAAATGAGCACAGTGTCCCGCGTCAGGCATCTATCGAAATACTCCTACATTGATAACAGGCTCACTGCAGTGGTTTGCTGGGCTTGTGAGAGCAGCCAAAGTGTGAAGAGCTCAAGTGTTCACTCTTCCGTCTCCTGTTCACTTGTCTGTATCCTCCCCCCACCCTCAAGAGGATTATTGCTCACTGCAACCAATTCCAGAGGACATGAAGGACGCTTGCTGCTCCACCCTCACTCATTCACAACCACTTTCCTCCACTCAGCTACACACTGTCACACATGCAGTCTATCCTTTGTGAGTGTGTTGCCGGCTGTGCAGCAGTCCATCTGCTGCTGACTCTCTCTCTCTTTCCCTACTCAGTGACCCCCTCCCTCCCTCCATCTCTGTCCCATTCAATCACTCCCTCAGCTCTCCGGCTTGGCTCATTCCCCTCTGTCATCCCGCTGACCAATCACAGCCCCGCTTCCTTATGCAGCAACGCTACGCCCCTCACCCTCGCTGTCCCTTGTTGACGGTGCAATTTGCCCAAGAGGCTCATGGGATGCTCAGGCACACACTGAGTACACAGCAAAAAATAGCCATCATGATAAGCCATTAGATTTGGAGGCAAATCTTAATTGTGTGTTTTTTAATCAGTGAGATTGGCTGAGATGAGTTTGTTCATCAATAACGGCAAATTAGTTAATAAAGACCACATTAGCAGGTGTTTGTTTTATCTTATTTTTAACACATTTTTTGCAGCATAACACCCGACACCTCCTCTCTCTCTCATATTCACTCTGATTTGACTGAGGCAGGTTTAAGTTAACTAAATGCACATTTTCACATGTGGTTTTTAGTCTTCCACAGTGGTTGGAAGGTAACAAAATGGACATTAGTAATCACCACAAGTGTCAGCTGGGAGAGATAGTAGGCTGAGAGAGTGAGAGTGAGTCAGGGAGGGGTTGATCAGGGAACGGGGAGTTGAATTAGCCTAAAGGTAGCAGATAATGGATGTAACCTTCATTTAAAACCAAGGTTGCACACCAAGTGTAACGCTGGGCCATTAGTGTCCTTACTCATGCATGCTGAATACAACACAGTGCCAGGACTAACAGCCACATGCCTCATGGCCTGTTGTCATGACTTATACAAAGATGGCTTACAAGTTAATTGATCTTTTAATCACAGAGAAATTGATGCGTTTGCCACTTTGTGGTTAAACTCTTTAATGAAAAAGCAATGGGAAAAAATCTTTGCATTTTTATTTAATCTGTGAAAACACTAAATCAATGTTTTTTTTTAACAGAAATTCAGTATTTGAATTTGTATTGCCTTGTAGCACTGACGCTTCCAGCTGCCTCTCTGTCAGTGCTGCCAAATTATTGTTAAGTTTAGGCTCTTGTGTCTTTCTTGCAAGTGTTGGCGGTGCTTTCTGTGGTTGGCTTTGGCTGCTGGTCGCTCATCGGGATGCGGAAATCAACCCACCAGTCTGTAAACTCTCCTCCTGCAGACTTCGAGCTAACATTAGCTAGCTGCTAGCTGGCTGTGTCGAGGTTTTCACACATAAACATCAGTAAAGCATCCTGCTAGCCAACTTTCGCACCACATCAATTTCCAGTGGGTATCCTTTGAATCACTGAAACTTGGCTAAATCCTGAACAGTGCCATTATTAGACACCTTCTAAGCACGACTTGGACAAGCTCCTGAGTATATAATGGATCTCTTAACACCCTATAAACCCAAACGTACCTGTGAGATCATCTGGTCAGCTACGTCTTGCTGTTCCCAGGACAAATTTTGTAACGAGAGGGGATCAGGCTTTTGCTGTCCGGACTCCTAAACTCTGGAATGCACTTCCTGTTGAGATATAATCATATAGATCTGTATCCACTTCTACAAACACAAAGTTTTAGGATGTCATTTCCATAAGGTCCCAATGTGAAGTATCTGTATATGTATATGTGGTTTTGTGCATATTGCGGTAAGGCTTGTGCACAGAGCATGTGTTTATGTATGTGTCTATTTGTGCGACACATTTACATATTTACACACATTCATGTTTATTTATTTGCTTTTAACACTTCACTATTTGCAGATACCTCTCTGTTTATAGTCTTACTTCATTTAACTGTTTTTACTGTGTTGTTACAGCTGTGTGTGTGTGTGTGTGTGTGTGTGTGTGTGTGTGTGTTCTCTGCTGCTGTCCCTTTCCTTGCCCAGGTGTGCTGCACAGAGTTGGGTATAACGCGTTAGAGTACTTTGATTACTTTTTGCAGTAACAAGTAACCTAACGCGTTAGTTTGCTGTTTGAGTAATCAAATACTTAAGTACATTTTCAAACAAGACATCAGTTACTTCCGTTACTTTTAGAACGCTGGTCCTTCAGCTCCGAAACCTAAAAGCGTCAGCAGATGGCAGGAGCTACATTTGAAGCGCCATATGTAAACTATCAAGCTACTGTATCTTCCACAGGAAGTTCTGACAAATTTTTCAGAATAAAAGTCTATTTAGAAACTGGAGGGATTCTCTCGGCCGAGGTTATAAGGAGCTTTTAATTTGAAACAAGTGTTGAGTTTGAAATGACGGTGCGATATGTTAACTTTACAAAGACAACGGAACAGATAAAAAGTAAATATATAAACACATAGAGGGATTAATAAATAACGGAGCGTCTATAATGTAGTCTGTTTCAAATGAAGCTGGGAGCCTCTGCAGTTGTGGTGAGTAAAAGCCCCGCCGCTATTTGTTAATGTTATTACTTTATGTCCGACCGTGAGGATGTACCATTGTTTGCTAGCTTGATGCTAATGACAGTAACGTTAACTCAGCGGGTTGACAAAGTGCCTCTGCTGTTTCACACCATCATTTCCCCCTTTTACTCTGTGTGGTAACATCCCTAGAGGAAATATTAAAAACACTGGGGTGTTGTTGTCATACAGTTGTCTACGGCAGCAGATCGTTGTGTGTTTCTACTGGTCAAAGTGACGGCTGTGATGGGAGAACTGGATCTCAGTGAAGGGCAAGTGGTCCATAACTTTAATTTTGGAGACAAAAAAATGTTAAGCTGATAAGAAGCACTGGTTTGAACCAGTTTTGTCTGATTTGACCAAAGACAAGATGAATCTGTAACAGGACACTGTCTCTGAGGCCCCCTAAAGGTACAGCACATTCTCACTCCGACCTCGTCACATATCGACGTTTGGACTTTCCACGTCCACATACAACACGCAAGGTACCCTGGGTGTTTTGGTTGTTGACTTTCTGGGACACCTTGTCAACTTCAGCCTGTTACATGCATTGTCTTCTTTCAAAATACACTTCTGTTTTCACAGGAAATTTAACATTTACTTCAAACGTACTAAGTTGATGCAATACTTTGGTCTTTGTCCTTGTATAACAGCAGCCAGCTGCATATCATGCCGATGTTAAAGGACGCCGTTTTTCATTGGTGTTTTCATGTCAGAGCACCAACATACACCGTCATGTCTTTTACCACAAAAGTGAAATTGGGGCTCCAGTTTGAGGTTGTTTTCAAAGAGAGAAAGGACAGAGAAAGAATGCAAAGTGACTTTGAATTGAAAAAGGTACATGTGAGAGACATGGACCAAGAGAGGAAGGATGGGGGGGCCCACAGAGACTGCTCATACACAGGGCCCAGAATTTGGTGCTATAAGCTCATGATAGACCTCTGAAACTACAACATGCCAAAAAACATGTGTACCTTTGAAAATCCCTCCACACAGAGCCCTCATGTCTGAGGTGACTTCTTTGTTACTAACTTTCTGTAAGACGCAAACAAGAGGATCACTATTTAAAGACACAGTGACATCTAGTGAATTTTTTAAGTATAACACCTAAATAATAGAATAGTAGAGATAGCCCAGTCAGGTTGAGTTGACTTTAACAATTTTTTTATTAAGATATAGTGACACAAAATGTGCTATACCAAGGCAGAACGTTTAAGGGCTAACGTTACCCTGTGATGATCTACACTTCTCATAACTTCTGCCACCAGATTGATGATAAGATGAGAAGCCAGAATATTAGCCTCACTTCAGTGCCAAGCAGTGCAGTGATTCATTTCTAAAATGCACTCATCATCTTTGGAGCACATCTGAGACTCTGATGTGCCAGCACTCAAGGCTGAAAATGAACACTGGTAGAGCTTCTTACTTTGTGAACCTGCTCTGTGACTGTCAGACACTTCATTTCCTGCATTCTGGTGAATTTTCATGCACTAATTTATATTGGAAATGTCTTTATGTAAAGGAAAACACAAAAGTCACAGAGCAGGTGAGGATTTAAGATATCAAAATATAAGAGCATATGACGCAGTAAGACTCTCAGGTTTGCTCCATTGCTATCAAATATTCATACTCCTGCTTATCAGTATCTGCTGAGTCAGAGCACACGTAGGAAGGATTTGCTCTTCAGTCTTCTTCCGTTTCAGTAAGTTAGTTCTTTAAACGTGCATGTGGCACCTCTTCACCTATTCACATCAATGTCACATTAATTAGTTTTGATTAATTTATAAAACCCCTGGACTTTAGTAGCTCGTGTGTTTGTCATGTTCTCAGAGAGAGAATGGGAAACTTTGCCAAAGAAGAAACTGTGTCAAGAATTTGTTAAAGTTACTGATTGGCATATTTTTGGGTCATTGTAGGATCATTAGGCTGGAGGGGAAATTATGCTTTCCAAAAGTAATGGGGACATGTCCACAGTGTAAATGACACCTATGCTTGTAAATCATGTTAACACTAGACTAAGACAGTGAGCATGGAACACCTTATACCTGCTAAACACCAACATGTCAGTATGCTAAAGCTAGCTGTTAGCTCAAAGCACCACTGTGCCGAGGTACATCCTCTCACAGCTGCAACTATGGCTGTTTCTTCTTGTAGTACATTTATATTTGATCACAAGAGCTGAGTGTTGTGTTGAGGTC